AGACTCTCAAGAAAATCACACAAGGCCCTCAGCAACTAGGTCCTGTTCCTTCTCTGTTGTCATTTCTGTGTTACTTCTGGTTCCCTCCAATGGCTTCCCCAGGCCAAGCCCATGCTTCATTCATGCTGAAACACAAAACAGTTTACAACACACAGCACCCTGTCTGGACTTGACTTTGCTGTGAGGTACTCTCAGACTGGAATGCCCAGCTCCATTCTTCCCTGGGGTCATTAGTTCATCCACAGATCTTTACTGGGCATCTCCTTGCACCAGGTGATGCTACTGAGCAATGAATGGTCTTGAGCTCTGTGGAGTGCTCATAGTCTAAGGGGGAGGCGTAGCATAAGTACGCAACGGTAACATTACAAACCCTCATAAAATCTGGAGGGAAAACCACCTGGGACTCAGAAAATCTGTGTCAGATTTGCTCAAAGCAGGGGTGGGGGATGGACATGGAAGGCATCCTTAAAGATGTGTTGTTTCAGCTGATAGCTGAAGGGTGAAGGGGATGCGTATTATAGGTAGAGACACCAGAGACCTTGAGACAGGAAGGGGAGGGCGTAACCAAGCACTGACAATGAATCGGTGAATGTGTAGCACAACGTCTGGCACTTGAGTTGAATACAATGCAAATTTGCGTTCTAGGGACTGTGTGCATGTTTTGTCGCATTAAGATTATAAACTCCTAAGGCTCCTGTTTCCCCGTTTGTGGGACATAAGAGTATGTATCCCTTCCTGGATCCACTTTACCCCTGTTCCTGCCCCAGGAAGAGGCTGACCTTCATCTATTACATCACTGGGCTCCTGGGCTCTCTGGCTTCCATGTTGGTGTGGCTGGGGGGATTGGAAGGATATGGAAGGAGGGCTGGGAGTGAGGGACAGACAGGAAAGGAATAGGGCAATGGAGGGCCATAAGGAGGGCTTCTGGGGTAAGGGGAGGTTAAAAAAAAAAAAGGTCCAGTGAAGCACCCAAATTCATTGAGCAGAACCATTCATGGGTCCCTTATTACAGGTGGCCAAAAGATGCTCTCTGTATTCTCCACACTGCTAGAAGGTCTTAGTATTTTTAAAGAATTATCTCTATCTCATATATACTGACATCCACCTCTATATATAGAGGGAACTCTCTATCTCTATATAGAGAGAAATTCTGTATATAACATTATACAGAAGTACATATAAATAACATATATTATATATAAATAACTAGCCAATATATTAATCATGGTCATCTCTGGGCAATAAAAATGGAAATTTGGCATATGATTTGTTTTATTCCTTATCCTTTATTGTGTATCGCAGTTTTAAAATAGCACGAATTCTTGCTTCTGGGGCAGGTAGGAGAAAGGCATTTGTAAAGATATTCCTCACTCTAAAATGTAAACCCTCTGTGGGTGGGGCATGAGAGAAGATAAGCGATCCTCTGTACAGTAGAGCAAATGGGTTTATGGGATCCACGGCTGGGAAAGGCCTGAGGGTAGGACACTGGGTGAGGGTGCTGGAGCAGGAGTGAGGCACTCACTAGGGAGAGAGAAGCAGCAGCTGGAAGTCACCGAACATCAACGTCACCTCTTCACCCCTGAATACAAGACCAGCTTTATGGTAGCAAGAACTCTTCCTGGCAGAACCTTATCACTTTTAAGGATAACATGGAAGGAAAGGAGAAAAGGGAGAAGTAAGAAGAAATTACAACAACGTCCACTGTGCTCCTTGGTATTTTCATGACCACTGTTCCTCTTTGAAAGCACCCATTTAATAGTGATTAGCTGCAATTGTTTTCCATTCTAATAAATGCATCTGAGTGGATCAAAGACAAAGCATATTCTAACCAGTTGTGGAGAATGACTCTCGCTAATGTTATCCAGAGACCTTAATCAGTCTTCTTGATGTTTTTCTCATGGTCAGACATCATGCCACATACCTCTCCCCTGCTGTTGTGTCAAGAATTTTTCTTTTCCTGACTCTTTGCCTGAGACATTGCACTTCTTTTGTAAATAACCGCCCCCCCCCATGAGTTATCCTGATTCGAATGTGCTGTTTCCTGTTTAGACACTGACAGATACACCTCTCTCACCAAAAATAACATCCCCACTGAAGCTGCCCAGCATGGCAGCCACTAGCCACCTGTGGATTTTGAGTATCTGAAATGTGGCCAGCCCCAATAAAGATGTGCTGCAAAGGTAAAACACACAGCAGATTTCGAAACCTTGATATGAAAAGAAAGAACCTAAAGTGACCTCGATCATTTTTATATTGACTACATGCTAAAGTCACATTTTTAGATATGCCGGAGATATCATTAACCTTGATTTCACCTGTTTCTTTTCACCTTTTTCAAGGTGGCTGTTAGAAATTTTAAAGTTGGCTTTAAGGCTAGTATTTGTGGCTCAGAATTTATTTGGGATGTACACAGCTGCCCTAGACATTGTGAGTGATCCTAAAACCATGTGTCCTAAACAGTGTAGGTCTTTAACCCCTGCCTAAAGAAAATACCTATGTTTGAAAGGTGAAAGCATAAATTCATGATCTTGTAACCTGTTGGAGCTAGAAGGGAAAGTGGAGATCATCATTTTTCCAAGGAGGAAACCAAGGCATGTTTATTGGCATTTATGAGACTGCATAGGCTTTCAGCCTCACTTCAAAATGGTCTTTGTTTTTATGTCTTCCTTCTGCCAATCAGACTGAAATATCTAGAGAAAAACTTCAAAATATATTAAAGCTCAAGACAACACCGAACTGGTTTGTCGATATCCAATTTTAGGACACAAAGAGAGAGCAGACCTTGGCAGGCCTCACTGTTCATCCTTGTAAAAAGCTCATTGCTTTAAAGCATCAGAAGCTAAGGAGCTCTTGGCTGCTTTGTAGAAGAGGGTGGGATTGGTACTTCATAAACATAAAACCATGCCTAGCAAAGGCACAAATACACCAGCTCCACCCACGCACAGAGTGAGAATCACGAGATGCTCTTTAGAAGGGTCTACTAGTAGGACTTCCCTGACGTCCACTTCCATGGTCAAATACAGCACAGAGCGCAGGAAAGCAGGCGAGAAAAAGGTTGGGAAGTCCCAGCAGTGGGCATCTTGTGAGGCACAGGACGCGGTGCCTACTGGGGGGGGGGGCTGGTCAGCATCTACACTGGGCCCAGCAAGCTGCCAGTGTCACTTACACGGGTTGGTGCGGAGCGGTCAGGCTCCCGCCCACATTGCCGGGCGTCCTGCTGAGACAAGGAAGCTAAGAAATCAGCAACAAATCGAAACGGAATAAAAAACCACCCCATGCGGGGTCCACGGGCCACCTCCCTCCATTAAACAGCAAGATGATTTGTATCCTTTCCTGACCTACTCTCGGAGGAGCGCGTGAAGAGGATATAGCGTCGCGGGAGGGGGGGGGGCGGCAAGAGAAAGAGGAAACCGCTGTTCACGAAAGGCTATTTAACTCCTTTACCGAGACGCGTGCGCACACGCGCGCGCACACACACAAACACACAACACTCTACTACAAACAACATAAAAAAATTCCTTCATCAAAAACTGCGCATAGGGATGTGGAATCGGAACTGATTTTTTTTCTAAAACTCCTAATTTCTCTCCTTGGTTCCTTTATTGGTTCGTTTCCTAAGAAGTTGTTCCTTTCTCGGTTCTGGGGAACTCTCGATCATCCCGAACTAATACAAGGCAAAACAGGCACAAGAAAAGACAAAATAAAATACTGCCGAGGGGCGAAAGGGCTTCGCTCCCGGGCCGCAGCGGACACTAGAGTAGGTGCAAGTCGGCGCCGCGGGGAGGAATTCAGTTCGCCCCAGACAAACGGGGGCGTGGCGTGCAGCGGGTACTGGCAACTGCAGCCGACAAAACTTCCAAAGGGCCCGGGAGGTGGCAGGGGGCGGGGCGGGGGGGGGGAGGATGGAGCGACAGAGGCGGGACCGGGGGCTCGGAGGGAGTCAGGGCTGAGCCGAGGCTGCGAGGTGGCTCGGGTGGAAGTCAGGCCCCCGGGGATCCGGCCGGCCCTAGCTGTCAGTCAGACTAACCCCGGAGCCCCCGCAGACCCACCGCTCGCCGGAAAGGGGGCGAGGCAGCGGCGGGGCAGGGAGGGCGGAATGGGGAAGGGGCGTCGCCCCGGTCGCCCCCGCCCTCTCCGATGTCATTGGGCCGACGCGGCGGGGTCCGCGCCACCTTTTCTCCATCCCACCCCGTCCGCCCCACTGCGCTCGTCCGGGGGCTAGTGCGGCCCGGGCCGTTGACGTCACCGCCAAGTTTGCTGCCCTCCGCGCCCCACGTGTGGCGGCGGCGACGGCCCGGAGGCGGCGGGGGAGCGTCTGCGAGCGCAGTGGCGCGGCCGCTGACAGGTCCCGCGCAGCCCGGCTCCGGCACGCCGCCCCCAGGTGGGGACCGAGGGCAGTTTGGAGCAGCCGGGCGCGCGCGAAGAGGGGTGCACGGCCCGCCGCGGGCCTCTGGTTGCCGCTGGGGCGGAGGGAGTCGGTGGGACCTCGTAGCCGGGCGCAGAGGGCGCGCCCCGGCGGCCACGGGCACGAAGGAAGGCACTGTCCCTCGCCGCTGTCCGCAGCGCACGGAGCTCCGCGGCCCGGGAGCCTCGAGTCCCCTCCGCGGGACCGAGCGAGGGATGCACGATCGCTGAACGGGGATCCGCGCCGAGAGGCCGCTCGGGGCCGGGGCTGAGACGCACGCCTCCGCCGCCGCAGCCAGGACCCCCGTTCCGGGCGACTCTCAGGGAACCGGGGCGCCGAGCGCGACCCCAAGGCTCAGGACTCGGGCGAGTCTAAGACGATGGTTTCTTAAGCACGGCACCACGATCCCCTCCCGCCCCCTCGACCAGAGGCAGGGATCCCGCGCACCGGCGCCGGGGGCTCCCTATCCCAGGCGCAGCTCGCACGGCCGCAGGGACGCACGGGCGATGCGGGGCCCCCCGCAGGAGGTCGCGGCACCCGGCGGAGTCCCGGCCTAGCATGGCCCGCGCGCGGCCCGCCGTCGCCTCCGGCTAGGATGGCCCCTCCGGGCCCGGCCGGCGCCCACCCCACCTCCGCCGAGCCGCTGTCCCGCAGCATCTTCCGGAGGTTCTTGCTGATGCTCTGCTCCCTGCTTACGTCCCTGTACGTCTTCTACTGCCTGGCCGAGCGCTGCCAGACCCTGGCGGGCCCGCTGGTACGGCCGTCGGGCGGCGGCGACGAGGCGGGGGCGCCGGGGCGCGGCGCCCTGATCGGAGGCCCGAGGGAGCTGGCGGTGTGGCCCGCGGCGGCGCATAGGAAGCGCCTCCTCCAGCTGCAGCCGTGGCGGAGACTCCGGCCGCCCGCGCCGCGCCACGACGGCGAGGAGGCGGCCTGGGAAGAGGAGCCCCCCGGCCTGGCCGGAGGTCCCGGCGGCTCCGGGGCCGGGAGCAGCGTGGCCGAGGCCCCACCGGGGACCCTGGCCCTGCTGCTGGACGAAGGCAGCAAGCAGCTGCCGCAGGCCATCATCATCGGCGTGAAGAAGGGCGGCACGCGGGCTCTGCTGGAGTTCCTGCGCGTGCACCCCGACGTGCGCGCGGTGGGCGCCGAGCCCCACTTCTTCGACCGCAGCTACCACAAGGGCCTCGCCTGGTACCGGTGAGCTGGCGCAGGGCACGGCCGGGGGGTGGGGGTGGTGGGGGGACAGCCGAAGGGCGGGGTGCGCGGGTTGGGGGGACCCCCAGCTCCCCTCCCTCCCGGTTTTCTGCAGTGGCTGCTCTTGAGTTGAGGGGTCTCGTTCCTCGTGCCGCCTTCTGCTTCCAGGGAAGTGGGTGTCGGGGGAGGCGGTGGGAGGGAAATTTTGGCCTTCACGATTTTTTCTTTAGTTTTTGGGATTTCCTTTTTCTCACACGGTCAATCCCATCTTGTTCTCCTGCTCCGTGAAAGTAGTCCTGTTGTTAGCTTAAGTGGGGAAAAAAAAGTACCTCCTAAGTGAGAAACCTGTTCGTCGATTATTAGCTTTGCAGCCTAGTCCATGCTTTCCCCCAGAGCGCCTGTTTTTATTTCTTCTTTATCTGCTGAACCATCCCCCCGGGGCTCCCGCAGTCTTTGCCATCAGGTATTCATTTACCTTGACCTTTTGCCAGATCCTTGTCCTAGGTGGTAAGTAATATCGAGACTCAGTAAAAGTGTCAAGAACCAGAGTCTAGGTAGTTGGGAAATACATGTTCGAGCAAGTGCCGGCAACCAGTCAGTGCACTTTAAGGAAGGGCTTCCTGGATAATAACTTTTGTTTGTGGTGAGGAATGAGTTTTGGAAAGTGTTTGCTAAATTTAAAGGGAATAGTACCTTGTGTTTTTGGCCTGGCTGAAACTTTCCTAAAGATCTTCAAACAATTCTCTTCACACATGAAGTAGCCAATTTTTTCTTCTTTAAAAGAAGAAAAGGGGGGAAAATAGGGACACTGGTTACATTGTGAAAAAGCCTCCCAATGAAAGTTTAGGAAACAAGTCTGATTCGGTTCTTAATCTTAAATTTGCCAGTCTTCTCAAATTTAGACCACCTTTAATAATGGAATCAGCCAAACTCCAATAAATCCTGGTGTCACCTGGATTTTATTTGCCATAAAATATTGGCCTGTTTTCTTTCCTCTGAGAACAACCAAAAGTCATGTGGCCAGAATTTTCATTTTAGAAAGTTTTATCTTGTTCATTAAGTATGCATTCTCTTTGTTATTTTAAGTGAAAGAACATTACCAAAGTGACAGCCCAATTTAGATATATTTCAAAAGTCCACTAAATAAATAATTCATCTCCCAAGCAGAAATGAACACGATCTGACAAGTTTATTTACTTGAGGCTGGTCAGGCACACCCTCAGATTGATTTCGGGAGCCGAATTTACAGTAAGCCAACTTAGGAGAAGACATTTGGCCCTAAAAGTCAAGTTCAGACATTAAACATTTTTAAAACAGTAACTTTCCATTTGTTGGAAAGAAAAACAAACAACTTTCCCTTAATATAGAATATATATCATCTAAAATCATCAGCCACTTAAAAAAATCGTCTTGTGTTTCTGTCATTTATGTTGTATCCTCTGGGAAGTTCTTATAAAAATGACCTGTTGAATCTGAAAACAACAGGTCCTTCTTTTTAGCACAAAGGCAGCTCTGTTTTTTCCATCAAGGACACAAGAAAGAAGTGATTAAAGACCCCTAAAACTCTTATCTATAGCAGTTTGCATTGAATTGGGCCTCGTATAGTGCTGTAAGGGAACACAATTCAAGGCAGCTTCACGAAAGGTCCAAGACAACGTTTGGCTTGAGGTGCCATTAAATACAGTGAAATATTTAGTACTAAAACCCTTTATTTTCATTTTGCCATATAGTCCTTATTTTCACAAAGTATGATTGTTCTTCTTATTCCAGAAATGAGTATGTGAGGGCGCAGGATATCTACAGACCTGGATCTTTTTTTCCGTGAGCCTTTGCTCGCGTAAGAGAAGGAAGGTTTCAAGGTAACTAGAAACACAGTATTAACAAAAAAAAAGAAGAAAGAGCCGTAAACTTTTAGGTCACTCTCTTTTGGAAACGAGATGCACGCTGTAAAGTAAATTTCTCCTCGGATTGTTTATTCCAGCAGAGGAGTGCTATAAAACAATTTATGGTGGTTACAAAAATAACTACACGGTAGACTTCATGGTTTGGTGAATTTAATTTTCTAAGTGTCGGAGCAATGTCTTTGTTTTACCATTTGCAATGGTTTTTATTGGATGCATAAATTTAAGTTTAACTCAATTACATATGAAACTTATTTTTAAAAAAAATCCTCCACCTATGCAGCCTGGATTATGCGATTATTTAATGAAACGTTGCCACAGTTCTCTTTCATCTTGGCTCTGAACTTGGGAGTTTGATGTTTGTGAGACAGACTGAAGACTATGAAAAAAAAATCTCTTGCACGGAACACTACTTAACCTATATTAAGTGCACGTTACTGCTTGTGTTCAGCCAATATTTACAATTAGGGATTCGGTGAGACCTTCCTGAGTCAGCCCCAAATTTGTAATATGGGATTTCTACCACATACTGCTGACTCCCCCTACTTCCCCCCCCAACATGAACAGAAAGAAAACTCCAGTGTTTGCACCCTGAAGTGAATTATGGAAGAAAAAATGTGTAAAATATTTTTTAGATGCTCATTGACATGGGAAAATCCTCTATGTCCAGCCGTGTTGTTTTGCCCGGTGAAATCTCACAGTTGACCATAATAGTTCGCTGTGGCAGTGCCCCCTACCGTCCAGACAAAGGGAGAAGTGTGTTGTTAGCAAATAGGAGGAAAATGCCATGGAGAATGCGTTTGAGAATGAAAACAACCAGAAGACCATGGTTGGGATGTTTTGGTAAATTTCCCTCACTGGGAGAAAACATAAAGTACTTTGTAAGTTGCACCCCACCCCCACCACTAGTATAATCAATTTCTTCCTTTGAGCAGATTTGTAGTAAAGACAAGAAAGTGAGTGTTGTCGAAATCTCTAAGAAAGGAAGTTACTCTGAATTGTTTTAAAATGTCCTAGTATTCTTAGAACAAATGAAAAAGGGCAGGTGTTTAGATTCCAGGAAATTTGTTAATGATAATAGGGGATGCTTCAGTGGAGTCTTCTGCATGTGAAACTCCACCCTGATGGAGTTTTTTAAAAAAAACATTCCACATTGCTTAATTTAGCAAACGTGATATCAGGACAGCAAATGTCTGTGGCTTGCATGTCATGGGAAAGCAAAGCTTCACAATGAACAGTCTGCATTTCCATTATATGGGTGGTGGATTCATAAAGGAAAGTAGGGAATTGTTGCATTTGCTTTAAAACTCTGGAAAATCTTTTCTGGAAGTCAAATGCCTCTGTTGTAGTACAAGAGCAGGTGAGCTCAGAATTGAATAAGAAGGTCCCGCTCTCCCTGTGTATTTCTGCTCCAACAAGAAGGTGTGTTGTGTTTTTTTTTTCTGTAAAACAAAAGATACCTATTTATAAAGTATTGAAGATGTGTGTGTACACACATATATATGTATGTATAACACTTTATTTTCTGTAACATTTCCGTCTCATCTCGAATTTTGGGGAAAGATAGTAAGTGTTTCACGTTTCTAAAAGTGCCAGCACATTTCTTCCTACGTTATGATGTGTTTTCTTTAGCAATACTGGAAAATTTGAATGGAGGAGTATCATTAAATTATTTTACTCAATAGCATCCAGGAAGGTCAAAGATCACTCAGCTTGGAGTTGAGGAGTTGATTCTCTGCCCCTCCCCTTCCCACCCCGGCTACATCAAAATTTAAAATTTTCTGTCCTCTACCGATCATTGCCTTGTTTTCCAAGTCTACCGAAGAGGCAGACGGAACAGAGGAACTTTCAGTTCCTATCAGGAGGAACTGGCCTTTCTTAGCAGCTGGGAGCAGCTGCAGAGTACCTCCATGTGCAGTTTCCCACCCTCCTGAGCCACAAGCTCTTTCTGCACGAAGGGGTGGAAATGAAATTCGAGCCAAGGGAGCTGCAGAGTTTGGCCACCCATGCAAGGTCATAGGGACTGAAGTCCAGGGAGAGTTCCTCTGTCCTTAGAGCAGAGTTAAGAACAGTGGGAAGGGATGCGGGGTAGGAGGAAAGCGGGAAGAAGTTGCTTTGGACCGCGAGTCCAGGGTGCTTGTCTACAGGCGGAGAGGGTGCAATTTCTCTTATGCATAGAGTTCCCAGGGGCTCTTAGGGACTATACACTCTCTATCCATAGAGAGACTGCAAACAGCCTATTCTGAGAAGGCCCAGCACTGTCATTTTGTTAGCTGAATGTCTCTCCTCGGGGCTCCCAGCAATACCAGTCAGACGGCCTCGTTCCTGTGAGTAGGTGTGTGTGTCCAAGGGTGCGTGCAAGAGCAGAGACACTGAGTAGATGGGCAAAGTGATGGAATTAGTAACAGGCAAGTTCTTAAAGTGCCTGTTGAACTCCTGAGCGCTGTCAGACACCCAGGATATGGAACAGGCTTTGGGGCTGGTGAGTCCAGGCATTGAAAACAACAACAACAAAACCCACGTTTGTTACAGCCTGGAACTGAAATAGCTCTCATGCTCCAGTATTCTTTTATAACAGTGAGGGTTACCGTGTGCTGATAACGTTTTATGTGAAAGGCATAGCTGTCTCTGCGCGAAAAATCTTCCGTAATATTGTGATCTGCCCTTTTCTTAAAAAGAGAACCCTGTGGCGAGAATATTTGTCTCATGTACATAGGTCTGTTGATTGGCCAGGAAAGCATACGTTCCAAATCTGTATATCAGAGGGGGTCATGGGAATAAAATAATAAGCTGTGCAATTAATGACATTAGGCGCTAACCTTACATAGACCAGATGCTCACATTGGGAAGGGAAGAGTGTCGCAGAGCAAACAAACCTACTTGATCTAAACAACGAAAGGGCCTCCCATCTCTAAGGGATGCATGTGAACAACTGCAAATTGCAATTACCATCAGTCAAATTGCCGGGTCCCGCTGGGAACTTTACACACTTAGCACTTTTCCTTGGGGGGGGACATCTTCCTCCCCCAAGTCATAGTAACTTGGCTGATAGAGTGTCCTCTCTTCTTACGTTTCCCAGGGATACTAGACTCCCTGCTTTTT